TTTGGATTTTGTTAAGGCTTGCTTTATGGCCTAATGTGTGGTCTATTCTGGAGAATGTTCCATGTGCACTGGAAAAGAAAGTATACTTGGCTGCTGTTGGGTGGAGTGTTTGGTATATGTCTATGAGATCAAGGTGGTTGATTGTAGCCTTTACCTCTTCCATGTCTTTGTTGAGCTTCTTTATGGATGTTCTGTCCTTCACTGAAAGTGGTGTGTTGAAATCTCCTACTAATATTTTGGAGCTGTCTATTTCTCCTTTCAGTGCTGTTAGAGATTGTTTTATATATTTTGGAGCCCTGTCATTAGGTGCGTAAACATTTATTATAGTTATGTCCTCCTGGTGTATTGACCCTTTTATCATTATATAGTGTCCTTTGTTATTCTTTGTGGTGGAATTTAATATCTATGTTGTCAGAGATTAATATTGCCACTCTTGCTCTTTTTTGAGTTTTATTTGCTTGATATATCTTTTTCCATCCTTTGAGTTTTAGTTTGTTTGTGTTTTTAAGTCTAAGGTGTGTCTCTTGTAGGCAGCATATAGACCGATTGTGTTTTTTTTATCCAGTCTGCCACTCTCTGTCTCTTTATTGGTGCATTTAGTCCATTTACATTCAGCGTAATTATTGATAGGTATGAGTTTATTGTTGTCACTTTGATGTCTTTTTTTGTGTGTTGTTCACAGTTTCTTTGTTCCACTTAATTTTCTGTGCTGAGTCGTTTTCCTTTATTTTCTTTTCATCTTTTTCATTGTTGTTGATTTTGTGTTTGCTGAATCTTTGTATTTTTCTATTTTGACTTGTAGGATTGTTAGTTTCCTTTGCGGTTACCTTAATATTTATCTCTATTTTTCTAAGTTTATAGCAGTCTTTTATTTCTTTATATCACCTTGAATTCCTCTCCATATGAAAAATCTATGTCTACATTTTCTAAGTCCCTCTTTTCCTTTTTAATGTTGTCACCTTTTATATATTGACATCTCTGTTTCCCTATTTTCAGTGTTTTAGCTTTGATTTCCTTTTGTGACTTCCCTATCTGGGTTGATATCTGGTTGTTCTGTCTTATGTTCTAGTCTTGGGTTGTTATCTGATGTTACTGATTTTTGAACCGGAGGACTCCCTTTAGCATTTCTTGTAATTTTGGTTTGGTTTTTGCAAATTCCCTAAACTTCTGTTTATCTGGAAATGCCATAATTTCGCCATCATATTTGAGAGGCAGTTCTGCTGAATACATAAGTCTTGGCTCGATTCTTTTTCCTTCAAGGCTTTGTATGTCATCCCATTGCCTTCTTGCCTGCATAGTTTCTGCTGAGTAGTCCGAGCTTATTCTTATTGACTCTCCTTTGTAGATGACTTTTCTTTTATCCCTCGCTGCTCTGAAAATTCTCTCTTTATTTTGGTTTTGGTAAGTTTGATTATAATATGTCTTAGTGACTTTCTTTTGGGATCTATGTTATGTGGGGTTTGATGAGCATCTTGGATAGATAGCTTGTCATCTTTCATGATATCAGGGAATTTTTCTGCCAACAAATCTGCAACAATTCTCTCTGTATTTTCTGTTA